TACTGCTTTCAGTATGGATTACAGCTAACATAAAGGAAACAAAAATTTTCACAACTGGACCATAAGTAATGTCATGATAAATAGAGCAAATACTGACGTTGCCAAGGATTTTATTTTACTTGGATCCACAATCAATGCCCATGGAAGCAGCAGTCAAGAAACCAACCTTATACTGCACTGGGCAAATCTAACGCAAAAGACCTCTTTAAAGTGTTCAAAAGCAAAGATGTCACTTTGAGGACTAACGTGTGCCTGACCAAAGCTATGATATTTTCAATCACCTCATATGCATGCAAAAGCTGGACAATGAGTAAGGAAGACTGAAGAAGAATCGATGCCTTTCAATTATGGTGTTGGTGAAGAATATTGAATATAACACAGACTGCCAAAAGAATGAACAAATGTATCTTGAAAGACGTACGGCCCGAATGGTCACTAGAAGCAAGGATGGTGAGACTTCATCTCACTTACTTTGACATGTTATCAGGAGGGACCAGTTCCTGGAGAAGGACATCATACTTAGTAGAGGGACAGCAAAAAGAGGAAGACACTAAATTAGATGGATTGACACAGTGGCTGCAACAATGGGCTCAAACATAGCAACGATTGTGAGGATGGCAGAGGACCAGGCAGTGCTTCATTCTATTGTACATTGGGTCGTTATGAGTTGGAATGACTTGATGGCACCTAACAACAACATATATATATATATATTTTACAACATCTTTATCATTTCTAGTCGAGTATTTGACACATAGCAGGAACTCAATGTTTGCAATGAACTGATTCCAATATAGATGCATTTCAGTTGAAAAGAAAATCATAGATGTGTTTCTGAAGCCTCAAATAAATTGTTTATGAATTAAACATTGCCTTTAATACAAGAGAAATTTGTTATTAAATGGATTCCTAAGGTGAATATTTTTACAATATTTACAATAATATTCTAATACGATAACTCATTAATTTAATCCCTTATTTAAGTTTCACGTTTTTACATATCAAGGTGGCTGACAGTAAACCAAATTAGTAGCTTATAGTTATGAGGAAGCCAAATGATTCATTATTGACTAAATCAGCTATTCTTCATAGTGAGAATTGTTCCTTTCTCTACAGTTTCCCAGATGACCTACTACACACGCACATGCATTTTTTTCTTTGCACCTTAACTCTGACTTTGGTTAAGTCTACCCCAGTTTACAGTACTATACATAAACTTTTCACTTTGCAATACTCCTGTGCGAACTCTGCCCCCTTATTTACTCACGTGCCTCACCATTTTTGAAAACAGGTATGCCTTCCACGGTCGCTGGATCATCCACAGTGTCTAGACTCTTCAAGATGTCTGTCTTTGGTGGTAGCTTTTGTATGAGCATGCTGGAGGTTGAAACTTCCCCAGCTGGGAAGCAATAGTTCTAGGTCACCTTCAAGGTGGGGTCCAGGGAAGAGAATGTTTCTTACTCCTTTTCATTCTCCCTATGGCTCCCAGCTGTCCAGGACCTTATTTCCATAAACCCAGCAGAAAATTAGAGAAACTATGACTCTTCTCAATAACTATCTTATCTAAAAACGTTTCTATTCCTTCCACAATATAAATGGAGGAAATGCAGGACACATACAAGATAATTGAGACTGGGGTGGAAGAAAAGGCCATTTTTCTTTGAAGCTTGATTTATCTTACAGATTTGGCCGTGTTAATTACAGTGGCAACAAGGACTCCCACAGAGGAGCTCAGACAAGTTGAAATAATTCATAAAGGGCAGAGAAATCAACTGCCAGCTCGTGGGCTATAATACCTGTTCCCCCTCAACTCCCTAGCCTTCCTTATTTTCCTAAGGGCCTGAACCCACATACCAGGCCAAAATCTCACCTGATACTTGTACAACAAAAAGACATGACTCAGTGACAAATATTTTATAATAGTGGGAACAGAATAAATTAAGGTCAACTGACCCTTGAAATCTGTATTTACACTACTAAGTTCCAAATGGTGTATTGAGACTTCCTGCAAGAGGACCCATTCCCTGTCACTGGGGTATAATTAGGAGACGATAGTACCTGTGCTCTGAGGATTCCTGACTAACCGGCGAGATTGAATCATACACATGAAAAATTTCAGATGAAATTCCTCTTTATGCATGGCTGTCTCCTGCGAAGAGTTTAATCCAAATGAACAGATCTGTGGAATGATTAAGATAGACAAAACTGACATGTACCAGGTATGTCCAATACTACTAGGCCTTAAGACCTGACAGTAGAAAAATACCAGCATATGGTGATAAAAATAATCTACTCTCACACATTTGACAGGGCAGGAGCCCCTGAACTCTTATCAAGCACCCTCTTTTCCTAGCTGCTGAAAGTGTTTAAAAGGGTGGGGGGCACCAGAGGCCACTCTTATTCAAGTATGAGCTCAAACTCTGGCTCTCATCTGGGTCTGGATTGACTACTCAGAAGCATTTCTCCAAGACTTCTAGACAGGGCCTGGGTCCAGAGGCCAGCCAAATTAAGGTGATTTGGTAAACAGTTTGAACGGACAAACACGGTATTTGTTCCTAGGGCCTTTTAGTCGTTCAAAGGTCACAGACTACTGGATCCTTTCCTATCTCTTCCCAGGAAAGTAGATCGCTGGTGGGTCCCTTATAGCTTTCCTGACACCTCTTCTGGAAGGTTCTACACGTTACCAGACACTAACCTAAGCTCTACCCAAGCTACTCCCCACCACCTACCCCCAACCCCAAATGGTCAGTAAAGCATGATGTAGTGCGAAGAGTACTGGACTGCAAGTTAGGAAACTTGTTTCCTTGTCCTAGATTTGCCATGCACTATGTAACTCTGGGAAATGACTTCCCTTCTCTGAACCTGTTAGAAACTATCTCCAATAACCCCTACAAGCACTAACGTTCTGTGATTTTCAACCAAGCAGAGTATAGTCTGAGATTCGATTTAGCTCTTAGGTTCCCATCTGTCGGGGAAGCCACAGGCTTTTGCGGATCTACGGCCAAGGCGAGAAGCTGCCATGGAAACCAAAGCATAAGCAAAAAATCGCTGCGCGGAACCAGAAAGCGGCGGTTACGGAGACCCAGGGAACAGAGAAAAGTGAAGGACGAAGGGCTCACTAACAATATTCCGAGAACGAGAAGTTGCAAAAAGCTCAAACTGAAAGCCCCGGAAAAGAGAAATTATGACCACGGCCTTTGGTGATCCCCGGGATTCTCAGCCCTCGCCACACCGCGCAGGCGTTCCGTGGGTCCTCAACTCTAGTCTTTAACCCCCCTACCCCCGTCCCACTGCGCCCTCCTCCGCAGCCACCCAGTGGCTCTTCCGGTGATGTGGGGGCGTTTCCAGTTCGCGACGGTTCCCGGGTTTTGCGTTCCGCGCCCGACCGGAAACCCCTTCGCAGAGTAGCCGGTTCCGGTTCGGTGAGTGGCGGCGGGAAGCTGGGGGAGGGGTGAGGATGGAGGGAGTCTGGGCCGGGAGGCAGTGCCGGACCGGGTCCGCCGGCCTGCGTTGGGTTGGGCGGAAGCGGGGACGGCTGTGGGTCTGGAGCCTTTTCCTCTGCCCCGCCCCCCGGGACCATCCCCCCCCTCCTGCTGTCCCTCAGCCGCAGTTCGGCCCGCGGCGGTTAGTTAGGCTTCCTGAGGCCGTTTCTTCAGGGCCCTTTCTCCTGGCTCGCGGAGAGGTCGCCGTCCTCCCCTACCCCGCCGGTGCCACAGGCCCCATCTGGGCACCCGACCCTACTTGTGGGGAAACTGCCGGCTGGGGTTCCGGGGCTTTCCCGCCAGAGCGGGGGCTTCTCTGAGGGAAGAGCTGTTTTCGCCGGGAAGCTCAGCTTTTCTGTCACACCTGCTTCACCTTCCGCCTTCCTGGAGACCTGAATGATCTTTCTCGACTACTTCTGCGTCTCACGTAAACATTTCTCCAGCTCCCTTAGTCTGCGGTATCTCCCGGAGCTGTGATATCGCTAGTGCCACCACCAGAAAGAGACGTCTCCACACTTCTGTCCAGCTTATGAAAATCCCCTTAGCTGCCACAGTTTGCTTACCTGTCTCATCGCCGCCTGGTAATTCCGTCGAACTGTCTCTTTCTTGGTGTACTCTAACGTGATCTCTGGATGTATGCCCAGTTTCTCTTGTCTTGAGCTTGGTGATTTCTGTTTATCGGTGCCTCTGTATTTCCACTATCTTGTTGGCTATTACTTGCCCCTTTATCACTTTAAAGTCAGCCTTGTTAAAGTTATTTCTCTTCACATTTGGTACTCTATTACGATATTTGGGGCGGTGATTCTTGTAAAATTCATATAAAACCTTTATAGGCTACCAACTATTTGACTTGGGGGTCTTTATTCCAGTTAGGTATTCTGGATGGAATAGATCTCATCATCTTCTAAATCTTTGATTTTCAGAAAGATAATTTGTGTTAAGGACTCGTGTTGAAATATAGGTTACACTGAATTACAAAATTACAGGTACAGTGAAACTTTAAGCATCTCTTTAAGCATAATCCCTTAACCTTCTCCCAGTTTAGAGATTTTCTTCCCTCTAGTCCCTTTCAGGAAGCCTCATTTGTTTTTATCTTCAGAAGCCTCATTCACTTTTACCTGATTCCAGTTAATTATCCTGATCACAAAGATGGTCTTGATGTCACCCATTTGATGAGTTAAATCTAGAGGGAGTGGATGGGTACAGGTTCTGCTACTTCAGGCTTAGGTGATGTAACTCTTGACTACTGCTTTTGAAGTCCTTCCTTTCCTTCCCCTGGATTCCCTTGCTTTGTACCGATTGCATTAGCTTTATTGTCTTGCCGTAAGTATCTGTTTATGGATCTGGCTTCCCCCATTAGATAGTGAATTCCTCGGTGGCAGGGACTGCTTTATATCCTCAGCACCTGGCACATAGTTGGCATACTGTTAATGTTTGTTACATGAAAGAAGTTGAATATTATCTTACCTTTAAGATGTTAGAGTCTAATTGGGAGAGATAACATTTGAAAGTATGAAAAACAAAAGCAAATACATGATGGTATAGTAGGAACTGGGCCATATACATAATTATTTTCCAGCACTCAGGGTAGGGTGATTCATAGGATCATTTCCACACCCTTCTCATGTCATAAATTGTCCTAACCACATCTTGGTCCTGTATAAAGCTAATTACACAATGCTTCTCCTCAATATGTATTTTCCTCAATATGTAACTTCATCATAGCCTCAAATATTCTCTTTCAAAATCATCTCTTTGCATGTATGTTAGCTTATAAATGTTTTACCATACTTGTTATATTCTGTTAAAATCAGGACTCTGCCATCTTTTTTTTAGAGTTTCTATAAGCTAACCTGACTTCAACTGAACACCTGTAACAGCTTGTGTTCTTTCAGTAAGTTAAATGACAATTGAGTACTAGAAAACGAATTATTAGAATAATTTTCTTAAAAGGAAAGAAAATTCTTATGCTTGCAAAATACATTTGTGGTACGGGACATGAAAAGTCAAAATTGTAGACTAAAAATTATGAATCTTTTAGATTTGGATTCATTTATTCTTCATTTCTCAGACACTGACAAGATTATAAAATATTTTCATTGTTGGCACCAAAGGTTCCAGATCCAGCATTTCATAGAGAACCTTCCCTTCTCCCAGTGTAATTGCAAATTGACAACAAGAAAATATCATAAGCACACTGAAGAAGCTAGATATATTTCTATTAAAATGTATGTGTGGGGTTTTAATCATTTAAAAATATAAATCAGTATGGATTCCCCAGGGTTGGTTAGGGATTACTTTCATCTTGTCAGTGTATATGAAGCTGTGTGATATTTGTTGAAAGCACACTTGCCCAGGAGTCAGGATACCTGGGTTTATGTCCTCACTTTGCTCCATCTGTGTGATTTCAGGCAAGTCATTTAACCACTCTGGACATAATCTCTAAAATTCTGTGAATTTTTAGCTTGCTTCCCTCTTCACTTTCATCTCAGCAAAATGCAGGCTTTCACGGTGGCATCCTTATTAAAAAAAGGCCAGAGATGACAATTACGAAGTGACCTGTAAGAGTGAAATGTGAAAAAGCCACTGTTAATTTATTTGTGGATGTGATTTTTTTCCCCTTAATCTGGGACACAGGGAACTCAGCTTTATTAAAAAAGAAGGAAGGGGAAATAATACTTTGGAAGTTTTCTAGATAGAAGCCTTTTGTGAAATTGAGCATTTGGAAATACATTTAAGGCCTAAATCTGAGGCTTGAATTCTTTGGGAATCCTTCCTGGCAAGGCTAGATGATCAGATGATTACACTGCTTAGTCTGTAGCCATGCCAAGAAAAACTCAAGTAGCCTTCCTTTGTGTGTGCACTTTGTTATTGTGATCACAAAGAATGTCTGTTATCATTTAGTCTCCTGAATAGATCGAAACCCTGGTATTGCTAGGTGGTTGATTAGGTGCTCAGTCTTTTTCAAAATATGGTGATATGATTATGAATATATATAGGTGTGACTACTAACCATCCCTAGTTTCCTCCTCTTGGAAATCTGCCAAGAAGCCGGTGTGCCAAGAGTATGTTTATTAACCTATTTCCAAGCAGCTAGGGTTTAACTGTTTTTCTGGCAAAGGCAAATACATCAGAAAAGAAAGTAATTTCACATAGGCACGGGGCTTTGGTTTGTAGCAGTTTAGTTGATAATGGGGAAAACTACTTAGTAAAACTGCAAAGTATTCCTTGATTGTCCTCAGAATATCAGTAACTTTATATTTGGCCACTGAGTAAGACATAATGGAAAACAAGTCTTAATAGGACCACCACAAAGTTTGTCCCTTCTTTATGAAATAGTTTGGGATGAGGAAACAGAAAGAGCAGTGGATTGGGGAGAATTTCTAGATGGTACTTTCAGCAGTCGCTACTATCTTTATGACCTTATGCAAATCACATAATATCCCAAGGATTGGATCTGCAAATTTTCTTCTCCCTTTAATATTCTGTGATTCTGTGGATAGTCTGGAACTGCTTTAGTGTAGCACAGTTTGCAGAAATGTTTGGAACTACCTCAGGCTGGTTTTGATTTTCAGTCTTTTCCCATCAAGTCAACTCTCCTTATCACCTTTCTCCACTAAGAACGCAAACAGATATCACAAATGAGTGGCTTCCTGTTCTATTATTATATGAAATAGATGTTTCCGTATGTAATGTTTCTGTTTTCTGTCTTCTTTTATAGGACTTTGTATTTTTCTAAAGTCAGTGATGTGAAAAGACCTGACATGGGTAAGGCTAACAATGAAGTAGTCGTTCAACCCTGTTACTCTGATTAGTCAAGCTGGAGTTCAAGAATGAGTTTTCCTAACATTCTCAATATTTGCATCTTTGTGCCTAATAATATTTTTAAGGGAGATCTTAATTCTAATTATCTGAAACTATATACAAAACATAATTTTCTTTTGGTTGGGACATTGTTTGTAGAGTCATTTAGAAGCATTTTTTCATTCGTTGTATTTGAAAAGGAAATTACCGATATCCACTAGCAGATGTTTACTATGTGTCAGACCCTGTTGTAAGCACTTAAAATATATTAACTCATTTAATTCTTACAACCACCCTACAAGGGTATCTAAAAGTACTTACAAGGTAGATACTATTACTATCCTTATTTTATTAACAAGGAAACTGAGACACAGAAGTTAAGAAGCTTGTCTAGAGTCACAGAACTACAGCTGGTAGAGACAGGATATGAACCCAGGCAGTCTGGTTGTAGAGTCTTTGTTCTTTAGTACTATGGTATACTGCCGTCTATATGATAAATAATTTTATTAATATACATTTTTTGTTGTATGTAGCTGGCAGCATTGAGAAGTATTGTGGTTGGAATGTTTCCCACTATTTCATTCATAGTACTTTATGTCTTAAAGGGGGTTAATACAATGTCAGGACTAGTAGCCGATTTGGGAAAAGGTGAAAAAATTTGTACAATTAGATCTTCTAACATCCCATATTCATCTTTTAATTAAAATTTTAAATTCGCATTAGCCTTCTCTCTACTTTTTTTGTTTCCTTTTGCTTAATCTGCCTTCTCTTTCCCCTTCGTTCGTGGTCATTTGTTTGCATTTTCACTCATTGCTGTTACCACTCTAAGTCACTAAGTTCCTTTAACTCCCATTTTTTCTTATTCTAGTTCTTTTATAGTAACGAGTGTCTCAAACGTGGTTATAAAGTAATACTCTGCCACAATATTGCAGTGATTGAGCTTGTGTTATCTGTTGGGAACTATATGAATAAATTATGCTTCTTCCAGAAAAAAATCTTTAAGTGAATTAATTTTTTAAAACACCTCTGTGAGTTAAAACAGAGGAAATAAACCAATGTTAACACTATTTGTTTCTGAAGGGTAACATTTTTTCCCTGATTTTTTTATACTTAAAATTTTTCTTCAGTTAAGCATTTTAAAACTTCTTTCAGGGAAATTTCATTATTTTTTAAAACTTTGAATTAAGCTGTTTTAATACTTGTACAAGTTTTGAAGTATTTGGTCAGTGATCTCAAATCAATTTCAAATGAGCCAGTTTCTGCACATGGGCCTCTTTTGACAATGACATTTCTTGTCAGTGGTTAGTTTTGAAGGAGGGGTTTTATCTGACTGTAGAGTTGTTCTTTGGGAATCGTATTAGGCAAAAGAATTGATTCATAGTAAAAAAAGTTATAGAATTATGTGACTTGAAGTAATCTGTGTTCTTTGCCTAGATGATATTGCTGATAGAATGAGGATGGATGCTGGAGAAGTAACTTTAGTGAACCACAACTCTGTATTCAAAGCTCATCTCCTGCCACAGACAGGTTTACCAGAGGACCAGCTTTCACTTTCTGACCATCAGGTTAGGAATAATTTTCTTCCCTTAATTAATTAATTACTTTGACTTATCTTAAGTTTTCATGTAGTTTAAATGCCAACTCAAAAGTACAAGTGTGTACGTAAACTTTTTAATATCAAGAATTTTAGTGTTTGGAATTCTGTGGTATACATTATAGACAAAAACCAGGCTACATATGAGTTCTTTGAGAACAGTACCTTCTAGAAAACTCTTCACTGTTTCTCTGAATACTGCAATTACCAGTACACAGATAAGCATTATTTTAAAGTTGTTGCTGCTGTTATGTGCCATCGAGTCAATTCTGACTCAGAGTGACCCCATGTGACATAGTAGAACTGCCCCCATAGGGTTTCTTAGGCTGTAATCCTTTACAGGAGCAGACTGCAAGGTCTTTTTCTCCCACGGAGCCACTGGTGGGTTCGAATTGCTGGCCTTTCAGTTAGCAGCCAAGTGCTTAACCATTGTGGCACCGGGCTTCTTTCTTTTAAAATAGTGTCTTAAAATTTCTGTGCACCAAATGGGAGGAAAATGTGTAAATACATAGCAGCTCTAAGATTTCCTTACGCTAGAAAGTCTAGTTTTTCAAAGTCCAGTCCAGGATCAGCAGCATTGGCATTACCTGGGAGCTTGTTAGAAATGCATAATGTGAGGCTTCTGAATTAGAATCTGTATTTTAACAATATGTCTAGCTGATTTATATGCACATTCAAGTTTGAAGAAACACTGTTACAAAGCAGTCTTTCTCAGTAGGAAAGTCAATAATTCTTTGCTGTGTGACTGTGTCCCAGGCATAGCAGGATGTTTAGCATCCTTGGTCTCTAGGCATTAAATACCTGTAGCACTATCCCATAATCATTTTGATAACAATATTAGCCACATTTCCAGATTTGTACTAGGCCTACCGCACCACTTGTGGTTAAGAGCTATCTCTAAATTGATCAAAAGTAAACCAGGCTGATTTTCTCTGCTTCTGTGTTATGTGACACAACTGGCTTTCAGTACAGAATATACTAAGTACATATTTACCTTCTAACAAGCATTCCATAAATTACATTGTATAACGGGTATTTTCTCCCTTGAATTCTGAATCATTTTATCAGATTTTTTGTGTTTTCCTTTCTTATTAATACATAATTTGCACTATTTCATTTTATTGAGTTTTGAAATATATCATAATTTTGTTTATTGATACATTCTTTTTTCTATTTTATTGTCAAAAATATGATTGAAGAAAAAATCTTCTGTTTTGTTTAGATTTTACCTTCCAGGCAAGGAAATTTGGACCGATCGTTTACATGTTCCACAAGAAGTACAGCTTCTGATCCAAATTATTACTCAGGTAAGACACAGTGCTTGGAGTCAAGGCACTATACCTTTCTGATCTCTTCCTAGCAAATTGTTTGTCTTTATCATCTCTAAAAGTAAAAGCATTGTCAAAAGCAAAATGGTATTTTCTCCACTAAAACATTTTAATAAGCTTTTTGTATGTATGTATGTGGTTGCTATAAAATTTTGCTGATCTAGTCTCAACCAAATATTAATTTTTTTCAAATAATTTAGCAGTCCATTTTCCTTCTTGTCAAAAGCAGTACAGCTTTTTTGTTTGTTTGTTCGATCATGTATGATGTAAAGGGTTTTGTTTTGCGCTGATTTAAAGCACAGAGTTTGCCTATGTCCATTCTGCTGGAAACCATGAAACCTGAAAATTTATTTCTACCAAAGCTTGTCCCTCCATCAGGGCAGGAAATGTTAACTACGTGTTTCTATCTAGCACCTGCCACAGCCATGCTTGCGTATTCAAGGGCTTGCTTATTCAACTCATGATCCATGATGACAGATGACATGATGCATTATCTAGGCTGTTCCTATCCTCTGGCCTGCCTGACTTCTCATCTGCCCCTTCCTAAGTTTTGAACCCCCAATGATCTTCTGCCTCTATCTTGGGAAACAAAGAGTTTTGTTGATTAGCCTCCTGGCAGTGTGACTCAGCAAGATTATAGACATTTGTGTACCTTGAAGAATCAGTGGTCTTGGCATATCTTTTCCCTCCTCATGCTTCAGTCTCCTCACAAAATGAGAATACTAGTAATAGTATTAAACCTGCCTCATGGGATTTTTACAAAGATGAATTGAGATGATAAGTATGAAATGCAAATAATAATTATTGTTGTTATTTGGCTTCCTCAGGATTCTTTGTCAGCAAGAATGAGATCTCCTCCCTTAAACAGTTGTTAGTATGATACTCTTTTAGATTTATGTTATATTTAAGTGTCTTTTAAGTGGGTGGCATTTCATCTGCCCTGGGCACTGGATTTCCTATCCTGGGGTGGGCAGTGACCTCCATATAGTATGTGCATAATTTGTATAGAAAAATCAGTTAATCTTCTCAGAAAGTAACTACCGTTATTATCGAAAAGACCTTTCTGATGAGTAGAGAGCCTGAAAATATAAATATGGTTTCATAGCTCATTATTAGTCCTAGAGACAGTTGAGTGCTTAATGGAATCAGATCAGTGGTACTTCTTTTTGAACTCAGTCTGTGTTTGCTTGTGATTTCATATACTGATGTACCATTGGATAGAATCTGTGCTTTTAGTTTAAAATGATTGCTTAATAATAAACAATTATGTAGAAAATTACACTGAAAATCTCTGTATCGCAACTCATCTCTTATGTTACTCAACTCCAGTGGCCTCTTCAATTTTAATCTGCGTGTACAAGCATGGTACATATTATGTCATTCAGTACATATATCTTTTTTAGCTCAGTATTTTTATTTTTACTTTTCCATCTGTTTACCTGCTATTCTACATATTTGTCACTGTCTATTTATGTCTAATAATCCATGGAATTTAAATATATGTCCTCAATCTCTTATATGCAATTTAAAAATCCATAAAACTCTGAGAACAAAAAAAAGTTTTTTTTATATCTCATTTGTCATTAAAACCTAACCTGACCTGAATTCATTTCTTGGTAAAACCTACATGAACTGACATGAAGCTATTTATTTTTTGTCTTTATTTATCTCTCTAAATATGAATATTTATACAGTTCACTGCAGATATATCAGTATGTTTGATTACAGGGTGCTGTACCATACTAGAAAGTCTTACACAGTATACTATGTTATCTTTCTAAAATTCCTAATTATTCTTCATTCCGAAATACAGCTGTACCCAAGGGTCTCTGATTTGGAATAATGGGCCTGTGTCTGTATTTGCCTCACTATTCTCTCTGTGGGTTAGATGCCCTCCCACCAGACCACTATTTTCAGCTATTATAAATAATGTGAGTTAAAAGCATTTGTATATGTGTGTATATATAGAGATATAACTTTTTTCTTTTGAATTTCAGTAGACCCTTGATATTGACAAAGGATGTATCTGAGATCATCTCATATCTTCATGTTCTTGAATATGGCAGTATTTGACCAGATGCCTGGCTTTTCACTCAATCACATGATTCTTAAGAGTTACATTTTTCCTGTATTTATCCTCATACCACAAGTTGTTGCCATGTCAAAATCTTTTACTAAAGTATTATCTTTCACTTGAAGGCCATTTCTTAGGGGAAAAAAATTTTATACACAATGATGAATAGAGAATAACTGCAGTGAACAAAGCCATATTGAAATGGGAATGCTTTGTCTATTAGAAGATTCAAATATGTGCCTCTGCCAAATTTCCTCTAGTCCCTGAGCAAGTAAGCCTGATCAGTGTTGCTCCCAAACAATCAGAATTTTAAATCTGTGAATGCCAGGGGTCTGTGTATTTTTTTCTTATAATAAGTTATTTAATTAAGATCTTACTTTTTAACCAGTGTCACAAAATAATTTGTGTATTAACTGTTTAATGAGAAACTAATTTACTCTGTAAGTATTCACCTAAATCACAATTTTAAAAAAAGGTCTTTTTACATGTACTTTTTAAAATTTTAATTTTTTTTTTTTTTTGGTGAAAGCATGCATAGCAAAAGATACAGTATTTCAATAATTTCTGCATGTATAATTCGTGACATTGATTGACATCATAGTTTTTAAAAACTTTTTTCTTTGCCACATCCATTTCAGTTCATTGCAAGTCCTACAGAATTTTGTCTCTGCTATTTCCTTTGGATGTATTCTTTTCTAATGATTCTCACATTGATTTCTGTGGACAGTCACCTTGTGCCTTACCTCTTGATTGGGCTAGATGTAGGCCCCCAGTTTACCCACTTTGGTCTCCTGATTCTGACTGTATTGGTATTTGTCTCCTCTCTCACCCTGCTATCCTTTCCTCCACCAAAATGGAAATGAGCACAGGAAAGCCCCAAACCTTAGGCTCAAGGTCTGGAGCTTTCTAAATACTGCTTTACTGGATCGGCCTCTCCAGATCTAGATTTTTAAAAATCTGCTTCTCATTCCACCCAAGACTAAACTATTAAAAGCACTGATTTTTTTTTTTTTTTTTAATTCTTTAAAAAGTAGAGAAAATGCGGCAGTTTAATAACTTAGTGATGGTCAGGCTTTCAGACCTCAAGACACAATGAAAACAAAAAAATTTTTTTCTTAATATTAAAGAGAGAAAAATAGATTGAGATGAAAATAAGTGGTTTTGCTCATGCTTAGAACCATTATCAATGACACATCTTAGGAAAATAAATTAGGCCAAATGCATTTAGTAGGTAAGATGATTTAAAGCATCCTGCTATTACAGTGACTAAATAAATCCTCAAGTTAACAAAAGCAAATGATGCTTTTTCTCGTAATAAGTGACTGCCTGACATGCTCTTCTTTTTTAATATAAAGTTTATTTTATTATGCCCAGACAAGTATTGCCTGATCCCTAAGAAAGTGTGTAGAGAAAAATACTCATCACTATCATTGGAACACAAGCACAATTAAATTTTGGGTGTATTTCCTTCTAGTTTTGTATGTGTGTGCACATAATAAATAATCTTATTTGTGGCATTTGTAATTCTGATTTCTTAGTGATGACAGAATTCCAGGTTAGACCCTCACTTAAAAAAAGAGTATCTGCAGCCCTCTGTTGGTTCCTCTCTAGCTTTGCTTGATCACATTAGCAATAGAAGACTATTCAGTGATTACATTGAGTGGAGATGGAAGTAGCTTATTCTGGTTAAACTGCCTAATCTTGTGCTTTTTTCTTGTATTTTAAAGCTGAAGTCTCTGTCATATACCATTGAGGTTACTCTGGCTTGTTGTTGGTCTCAAATTTTACACCTGCCAGCGTAAATGGGATTTCTTGACAGATTTATTCCTCAAATAGACAACTCTAGTTACATAATTCCCTAATCAAATTTCAGCCAAAAAGTGTGAGACAAAGATTGCGTTTAAAGGAAATAATTTTCTGATCCTTTAGTGAGACTCGTTTTCATTAGCCTGATGTCTCTACCCTTAAAATAATAATAATAGATGCTAAGTATAGGTACTGACTACAAAGAAAAACATTATAATTAATTTTGAAAGTAAATTTGCTTTATTTTAATTGTTAGAGTAGGTTCATCCACTGATGAATCAACTGGTATATCATCTTGATTGGTTATTTTTTTTCCTTATTTTCCCTAAATCCTGGTATCTTGACCAATCTAGAAAACACAATGTAAAATGTATTTTTGTAGGCCACCTTACTTTTTGGATTAATATCAAAAGCATTAAATCTTTTAAATAACGTAAATACACACTATAGTGCCAACTTTTATGGTAATATTCTTTGAAAAAAGGTTTTCAAAATGATGTCAGCATTAAAGGTTCAGGAAGTAGAGAATTATTCCTGTTTTTCCGTGGGAGCTCCTCATAGTTCTGTAGCCTAATGTCTGAAGCTATTTTGAAGGAGCTATTTTAAATTGCCTGGTAGTGCTAATGGGGAAGAGGAGAATATATAAAATTTTTTACCACTTATAGCTGAAACTTCAAGGGATTTTTGTCACCTAGTTTTGTAAATCATCACTTCAGAAGATTCAAATAATAATCCTTAGTCTGATTACAGTAACAAGCATCAGAATATTGATACATCTGTTAACTATGGCATTAAGTGACTAAAGATTATCATACCAGAACCAGATGCATATGATGGGTCATTCCTGCCATAAGCCGACCAGAATAAGCAGCATTTAGGTTATCTTTGCTCTTAGAGAGAGCCCCTGAGTCATGAACATGGTATCTAACAACAACAACAGAAAGTAACACGAGCTGCTTATTAAGCAATAACTGTTGTTCATTTGAATTAAATTCTCCTTGGCCCTCCACCTGGTTTCTTACTGGTCTGGCCTACCTTCTTTCAGGCCCAGGCCTGGGAGTGCTTGCAAGATATAGTTGGGGTAAAATGTTGACTTTTGGTGGACACCACGGAGTCACATTGATGCAGATAAGGCACATGGCTGTGGCAGGATTCAGCTCCTTCATCAATTTTCAGGTTAGTATGGCTGAATCAATTATAGTTTGTAGAAGTTCCCTTACTGCAGACTTTACTGGCAGTTGAGACTGGGATCTTTCTTCCATGAGAGACATGGTGATATGCCACATAACTTTGGAATACAGTGTTGGACATGGTTGCAATCATATGAGGCACCAGCTGTAGGTATTTGTTTAATTTATTCAAACTTTTATTCTTTTAGACAGCCCTTCCTCAGATAGTTTTCTTGGCTCAGGCGACTTAAGAACCTTTGGCCAGAGTGCAAATGGCCAGTGGAGAAATTCCACTCCAGCATCAGGTTCAGCTTTGCAAAAATCAAGAAACAGCCGGAGTCTTTTCCTCGAAACCCGAAAGACCTCAAGGTAGGTTATCTGTCTGCTTCACAAACCCTTCCTCAGGTATAATAGAAAATGACTCTAAGTTATTACATTGGCGTTTTAAAAGAGGAACACAGTTTTTGGACTTTAAACTATGGAAATGTGGACAAATCCATTTAAAGTCTAACATTTAGATTATTTGGTGCCAAATTTTGATGATAGCGAAATCTTATTAGAGGGGAGAGTTTTAAGGGACATCTTGGTGGTTATGAGTATATTTTGACCTTTCAGGATTAGTAAGGCTATTATGAATCTTAAGGCAAAAATCCAGGTCATTCTCCACAACTTCAGTAAGAAAGAAACCACCACTTTTTACAGGCTCTCATGAGCAGAGACTCCATTATATCTTCACCAAATAAATTATACTGCTCTTGTCATCTTTTCCTAGCTGCTTCCATCCATCCTAACAGAATAGCTTGTCCCTGAAATTCTGAGTCCTTGCTCCTTTCTCCACTCTAACCCACACAGAAACCATGAGGCTTAGTCTGATTTCATTTGGATACACAGCACATGTACTGGTTTAAAGAATTGATTTTGTGTACTGTCCATTGTAATCAACTTACTCAGCTGTGTATCTCTGTTCTGAGTTCTCAACAGAAAAGAAAAAAAATGGTATTATGTTCAGTAAGTACCTCAAACTTATATTGCTGAATATTGATAGATGAGATAGAGCACATAGAGAAAACTTAATATAGCCTTAGAGATAAGGCTGGCTTGTTGATTTCACAAAATTTTTTTTTTCCCCATTAGTGAGGGCACAAATAGTATAAAGAAATAAACAAAAACAAAATTCTCCTTCAGAGGGGGTCGATAGTGAGGCCAGAAGAAGTAGCTGTGATGCAACCTAATAAACCTTTTGACTTTTTAATGAGTGATGGGAGCCCTCTGCTGGTCTTTCAGGAAATTTTGCAATTCAGTTTAAAACTTGTGAGGCTTCAGCTGTATTCATCTTTGCATATTTAACCTTAAAGTATTATTTCCGAAAGGACTTGGGAGTAGGAGGACACGGGGAGTAGAAGATAGAAAGTGTGCACGTGTATGTTTAGAATTCCTGAAACCCAGGTTTTATGAAGAAGTCTAGTCTGATAATCATTCTGTCATATCCCATAGCTATGTGGTTCTTTACCAAAGGAACTTACAGATTGTGGATCTAAGGAATACAATAACTGTTGCTGTTGAGTCAGTTCTGGCTCGTAGCTGCTCTATAGGACAGGGTAGAACTGCCTTATAGGGTTTCCAAGGCAGTAATTTTTATGGAAGCATACTGCCACATCTTTCTCCCGCATTGGCTGGTGGGTTCGAACAGGTGACCTTTCAGCCAAGGGCTTAACCACTGCATCACCAGGGTTGCTCAAGGAATACAGTAGTAAGTGTTAAATAATTACATTGTTTGGTAATCTAAGGTCTCTTAAGCCATAGAACCTGATGCAGCAATGCATATGAACTAAGTAATGTCGTGTACATTTCCCTCCCATGGGAAGCATTCCATTCTACCTGTTTTTTGTTTTTGTTATTTTTTTGAAAGTGAAAATAATCAATAGATTTATCTTACTTGCTGTTCTTAACTTACCTTTTCTTATAAACTTTTTTTTTTTTTTTAGTGGATTATCAAACACTTTTATGGGAAAGTCAAACCATCACTGCCATATGTCTGCGTATGAAAAATCTTTTCCTATTAAGCCTGTCCCAAGTCCATCTTGGAGTGGTTCATGTCGTCGAAACCTTTTGAGCCCCAAGAAAACTCAGAGGCGACATGTTAGCACAGCAGAAGAGGTAAGAAAAACCTGCAACAAAAGCTACTAAAAGTTACAATCTTTCCCTGCATTCAGCCCATTTGATACCTCTGATTTTATATGCTTATTAACCACTCCATTTACTTAATTCTTTCTGTGATTTTTTTTCTTAATTATAATTCTCGAGTGTTGTCATCTGTTCTAAAGAAACTAAAGAGGTGTTTTAGCAGTACTTCATTGTTTTTCTTATTGTCTTCTCTTCCTGTTGGATAGCAGACTTTAATCTTCAGCATTGCCTGAAAGGCTTCTCATACATCAAACTACCTCCTCTTTTTACTGGACCTTTCTAGGCTCTTGTTTCTTTGGTAAAACTATCAGCCTTGCTGGATTCAATAAAGTACCTGCTCCTGTTCTCACTAGGGACAATTAATATAAAAGAAAAATCAAGAAGCCAGTTAAACAATTTACATCTTTTTGTCATATAGAGTAAAATCTTCTTTAAAGTCATATACTTTCCCAAAGGAGAAAAAAAATCAATTCTATGAATGTAATACAGCATATAATTTGCACAGTGCAAAATATGGTTGTACTTGTTCAGTTACATATTTATTGTGCATCTAATCGTTAGCTTTGGACTGGTTGCTGTGGAGATACACGTGAATAATAATAACTTTATATAGCATTTGAGTTTCCAGTGTGCTTTCTATATATATTATTGTTACCAATCTTGTTAATCTGTGAAATAGGCAAGTTTGGAAAGTAAAGGTCAGAGGTCACACACCTAGTAAATGGCAGGCCTAGAATACATGTTCCTCCTTTGGACCACTTGGCCCTCCTTCCTTTCGCTTAACTCTACCAGCCTAGGACTTGGGCTGGCTAGGTAATTTCACCCTCCTAAATAACCTTCCCTCCCACAGGCTAGGTCACTGGAAGACATGAAACTGGAGTTCCCCTTCCTCCTACAGTGCAAAGAAGATGCCAGGGATTGAGCCTATTTTGTGAAACGAGATTCAGGGAGTTTTGCCTGAAATGTTTTTAGGTCTATATTTTCCTGCTGTGAAAAGTAAGCCACCTGTACTATAGAAACATGGAAGAACCCATATAATATTAACAGGATAAAATATTGAACCAAACTATTGAATCAGACTTTCAACAAATTATTTAGATATTTAATCTTGGATATTACAGATAATCCAGATGAAAATATAATATCTTTTTTCTCTGGGACCAAAGAATTTATTGATGGGAGCTTTCAAACTGGAGGAAAAATTCTTTTCCATGGAAATGTTGAGATTTGCAAGAGATGTGTTTGACCAATGTAATTTAGACATTTTTATTCTATGCTACCTGTGTCTTGACCTTATTACATATTTACTATCTTTGCATTTTTTAAAATAATATTGTTTTTGGTAAAAGTTTACATAGCAAATTAGGTTCCCATTTGACAATTTCTACATAAATTGTTCAGTGACATTAGTTACATTTTTCACAGTGTGTCAGCATTTTCTTTAATTGTGTTCTAGTTATTCCATTTCCAGTACTCTAGTTTCTCTGCCCCCTTATTTTCTCGTCTTTCCTTTAGAGTAATTGTTGACCTTTTGGTCTCATATAGATGGTTTTTGAATGCATCGTACTCATGGATAATCCTTTATTTTGGGTGTCAATCTATTATGTTGCTAAAAGGTGACCTCGGGATCATTTCAGTTCAAGATTTAAAGAGTATCTCAAGGCAGTAGTCTCTGGGGGTCCTGTAGTCTCAACTGGTCCAGTAAGTCTGGACTTTTTAAGAATTTGAGATCTGTTCTCCATTTTTCTCCCGTTCTATCAGGGTCCATCTGTTGTGACCCTGATCACAATGGTCGGTAGTGGTAGCTGGGTACCATCTAGTTCTGGTCTCAGGATAGATGAGGCCGTGGCTTGTGTAGGCTGTTAGCCCTGTAGACTAGTTTCTTCTCTGAGACTTTGGTATCCTTCTTTCTCTTTTGTTCCTAACAAGTAGAGACCAATAGTTGTATCTTAGGTGGCTGCTCGCAAGCTTTTAAGACCCCACACGCTACTCCCCTCACTAGGATGTGGAACATGAATGAACTTTATGATGCCAGTTGACTGAGTTATCTCATAAGGCTAAGGGAGCAAGCCTTCAAACTCAGAAGACTATTCTCGCCAGGTGTTTGATTATGTCAGTAACTTTGTCCTCTGTGAATATATATGCGTGCACACACATATCTATACTTACATGTACATATAAGCACTTCTATCTGTGCACACATATGTACTCACCTGTACCTACCTGTACACATATATGCCTATACACCTACATATGTGACCATACACTCGTTTTTTGGTTATTGTTGGTGTTGTTGCCAAATTATATGCATCATATTCTTTAGCACAGATATCCTTTTCTCTTCTGCACTTCTTAGTGGCATTGTTTACTTTCTTCAGGCTATGCACATTACACCCACATTCTGTGCTACCTTTCCCATTACCAAAAATAGCAAGTGTCTACAACCTAGAAAGTGAATCACCCCCCCATCCCTGGTAAATATCAATGAACGTTGGTCTCTGTACGTATATCTATTCTTGTCTTATAAAAGTGGGATCATATAATATCTGTACTTATGCGATTGACTTATTTTACTTAGCATTATGTCCTCCAGTTCCATCCGTGTTATAATACGTTTCATGGACTCATCGTTGTTCTTTATGGTTGTGTAGTATTCCATTGTATGTACGTACCACATTTTGCTTATCCGTTCATCCATTGAAGGGCACTTAGGTTGTTTCCATTTTTTTGCTATTGTGAAGAATGCTGCAATGAACATAGACATGCATATGTTGTTCGTGTCACTTCTGTTAGGTCTGTAGGGTATATACCTAGAAGTGTGATTGCTGGATGATAAGGTAATTCTATTTCCAGTTTTTTGAGGCAATGCTGTATCATTGTCCATAGTGGTTGTATCATTTTACAGTCCCACCAGCAATGGATAAGGGTTCCAATCTCCCCACATTCTCGTCAACTTTTGTTGTTACCTGTTTTTTTTAACCAGCACCATTTTAGCCGGGGTATGATGGTATCTCATTGTAGTTTTGATTTGCATCTGTCTAGTGGCTAATGATCTTCAGAATCTTTTCATGTGTTTGTTGGCCGCTTGAACGTTCCCTTTGTTGAACTGTCTGTTCATGTCCTTTGCCCATTTTTTAATTGGGTTATTTGTCTTTTTGTTGTTGTTGAAATTTTCTATGTATTTTAGTGATTAGACCCTTACCGGATATGTCATTTCCAAAGATTTTTCCCCAGTTTGTAGATTGTCTTTTTATTCTTTTGATAAAGTCTTTTGTTGAGCATAAGTGTTTAATATTTATGAGGTCCCAATTACATAATTTGTCTCCTGCTGTTCGTGCATTTGTAGTTAACGTTTGTTAGCCTATTTAAAAAAAGAAAATTAGATCCCATTGTTTTCTCCCTATGTTTTATAATAATCTTAATGCTAGGTTTGTCCATCAACTTCAGGAATATGAAGCCATCTACAAGATTAACAATTAAGATAATGTCACCACTGTACTGTTCAGTCTAGTACTACTGGGGTTTGACGAGAACACATGAAGAAGAATTTGGAAATAAGCAAGTGGTGGCTGTGCAGAATAGCTGATTCAAGGGCAACATTGAAGAGCTGTGCTGTTCAATAGGGTAACCAATAGCCAATGCAGCTATTTAAATGTACATTAATTCAAATTAAATAAAGTTAAAAATTTGGCTTCTTAGTCTCACTAAGTCACATTTCAAGGGCTCATTAGCCACATGTGACTAGGCTGCCATATTGAACAGGGCAGATGTAGAACATTTCCACTATCACAGAAGGTTCTGTTAGCACTGGGTTAGAGGATGTGAATTTCTGTTTGGGAAAAAGAAAATACTAGTGACAATAAGAATGTAAAATGGTTAAAACAGAAGTAGTTTCTTTTCGATTGTATGTTGCTTCTAGATAAGCTTCTCTGCAACTTATTGAGCACATTTTAAGATGTTAGACTTCTTCAGTAGATGGCACTGATGGTTTTCCTTTCCTCCTCCTTTTTTAAATACTTTACAGTGTTATAAACCAAGGATTTTGGACGTAGAAACAAAAATTATTGAATTCTGCACTTTTCATACTGAAAATTTATACATATGGTATAAAGCTATTATTTTAAACAAGATGAAAGTTAATGTGATTGTTTATAAAATTATTTGCATATTTTATAACAAGAATTTACTAGTTTGCTGAAAATCATTTTGTATTCTTGTTAAATTTCTATAATTTTACAGTTTAGTTTTTTGATGGAGCCTCTTAACAGAAAGGTGAACTAAACGTAGGAATCTGCCACATTAAAAAAAAAAAGAAAAGAATTCAATACTTTATACTTTTGAAAACTTCCTAGATCCTTTATTAGGCTTTGAATTATATTATTGGCCAGCTTCCCTTACTTTAACGTATTGTCCAATTATTGCTTTCTTTCCTCTTAATTTCCTAATTTGCTTATTCAGTAGAAAAACAGTTTAATAAATAATGAACCAAGAAAGGTGACTTTCATTTACTTTTTAGTACCAGATGCTCCAAAAAAAATTGTGTCTGAAGTTTCAAGTGATTTTCTTTTTTGCATTTTCTTTTGGTAAAGCCAAATGTTGTATGTGTTCTTTTGCGAGTTGCCTAGGCTGTCTTTTATTTGTCTGAAATGATTCTAAGTACAGTATAACGTAGACAATGTAGCACTATTTTTTTTGTTTTGTCTTAATGAAGCCCAAAAAAGACAAATGCCTTGCATCAGTTTTTTAAGAAAAGATAAATCCTTGTGACCCCAAAATTAACATTTAGAACAGTGAAAAGTTCTTAACCTTTTTTCTGTAATTTCTTTTTTAAACCGTAGATTAATTTAAACGGAAACTATGAGGCTTGTAAGAGCCCTCAGATAATTATTTGGAATAAGGAACATTTATTCCTGTTAATTTTATGGTATCTAATGACCCGGAGGTTATTCAGGCTCTGACAGAGGCTTTCTTTGAAGATACATCTATTGGGGAAAATGATTTGTGGGGGACTTTTGTGTGTGTTAAGGAGCTCTGGTGGTACAGTGGTTAAGCTCTTGGCTGCTCACCGAAAGGTTGGTGGTTTGAGCCCATCAGCCTCTATGCGGGAGAAAGATGTGGCAGGAGAAAGATGTGGCAGTCAGCTTCCATAAAGAGTTATAGCCTCGGAAATCCTATGGGGCAGTTCCACTCTGTCTTATAGGGTTGCTATGAGTCAGAATCAACTAGATGGCAATGGGTTTGGTTTGGATTTTTGGTCTGTGTGTGTTAAATTAGCTATTTTAATCAATTCTTTACATTGAATTGATCTATATTTCTCACAGTTTATATTGGCAAAGTCACTTATGGCTCCTTGGTTCTCCATATTTTATTTATAAGAATTTATTCTAAGAAAAACATTTTGCTATGTGATGTGAGAGGAGAAAAGTGTGTTAAACTCTATGGTTGATGTCTTTAGAGTAGCACAGACAACTCCTTTCCATCTCACTTGTCTCAGTGCTTGCTTAAGGTCTTGATGGGAATGATCTCCTTACATTCCCTTGGCACCAAGAGGAACTTTGCAAAGTAACCTGTTAACACCAAGTTTTCGGCTTTGCTTACCTCTCTATGATGTGAAATTGCAGTCAGAACTTTTTATCCAGTGTGATGGATATGATCAGTGGAAATGAGCTGAAAAGCTTTCTTACTTAAGAGTTAATCCCTATAATCGAGGTGTGGTGTTCCTCTTCTGGTTTCCCTTCTCTTCCCCCATCTTCCCAGCCCTTAAAACGAAGTATTATTAACTCCGTTGTATTGTGATTAGGTTGTATAGTGGAAAAGTGGAGTCAAAATTTACATTGGAGGATGTTCAGAAATGTTAGTCAGTAAAGCGCCAGATAATACAGCTTCCTGTCTGTAGATCACTGTCACAAAGACCTACAATCTATAGTGATGCTTTATTTTACAAACTGCTTAAAAAATCTTCACAATAGTAAATTTAGGTTTTAATAAAGAAACAATTGTTTTAATTAAGGTTTTAAAATTTATTTTGCAAATACTCATATCCTTTCTAGTAGAACAGCCAAAAAATACAGATTTGGTTATTGATATTAATTTATATGGATAGTTGTCTTTTTCTAACAATTATAATTTTTGTGCCTAATACAGTTTTTTCACAAGCACTACAGAAGGGGACCACCATCATCCTGGGCACAGTATTAGTGTCTAAGATAAAATACGAGGTTTATTGTTTTTGTGTAGAATATTGCAAGTTTATTTTTCTCTTGGGTCCATTCTTCCACCAAGTATTCAGTTAGTTCTTTTCTTAGCACTCAGTTATTCAGGTTTAAAGTTAGCTCTTTCTCATAGGTAGTTGACATACTTCACAGTTCACAGTTGATTCTATTAGAGCAGTAGTGTTAAACTGACAATGTAATTGCAGTTTACCATGTAGCAAAAAGAATTCTAGAAGAAAAAAACTTACAATGTCTACCTTTTTTAAAGGTAACTACTTAATTCATTCTGCTTTTAACAAACATTTGTAATTGAATAAAGTGCTTATGCGTGTATTGAAATGTCACAGTTCAAGTTGCTGCTAGCCCTGGCACAAAGTATTAAAATTATTTTGTGAAGATTGGTGGTTGTATTAAACTGTATATAAGATAAAAAAATTTCTAGGGCATATTGCTTGGTGAATACAGCCTGTTACTTCAGTGGATCTGTACAGAGTAGATGCTTTACCATAGTTACAGTCTAGTAGTTCTTGGCTAAAACCAAAAACCAAACCTGTTGCCATCAAGGTGATTTTCACTCATAGTGAGCCTATAGGACAGAGTAGAACTGCCCCACAGGATTTCTAAAGCTGTAGTCTTTATGGAAGCAGACTACCACATCTTTCTCTCGCGGAGTGGCTGGTGGGTTCAAACCGCTGACCTTTCGATTAACAGCTGAGCACTTAACCACTGCACCACCAGGGCTCCTTGGTTCTCTGCTGGCTGATCTAATTTCTTAACCACTTTTCTCCTCACTCATAGTGATCTCACTGTTCCTTGAACATATCAAGCATATTCCTGTTTCAGGGCCTTTACGTTTGCTGTTCTTCTACCTAGAGTACTCTCACCTATTTCCATGGTTTACTTCTTCCCTGGATTCAGGTTTCTGCTGAAATATCACCTTTTTAGAGAAATCTTATCTGTTCCTGCCACCCTTCCTCCCCCCATCATTTTCTGTTCTCTTGTCCTTTAGTTTTCTTCATACTACCTGACTAGTTTTTGTTTGTCAGTCTCTTTAAATGTAATGAAAGCTCCACAAGGGCAGGAACTTTATTTTATTCAGTGCAGTATCTCTAGTGACAGGAGTGTAGTAGGTGTTCATGTCAATGAATGGTGAATGTTATGGAGTATGAGGTTTTGGGGACTTACAGAACAAAAATGGAAATAAATGTTGGAGATGAAAACCATCGCTGGAAATACCTGCCCTCTTAACAGTTGGATAGAGTAGAAAACCATTAGCAAGACAGCCAACTCTCACTAATCTTGACTAGTCTGGTTACTTCCTTGTGATTTTTCTAACAGGTATCGGGAAACAAGGGGTTTGTTGGAATCCTAATTTAGAGATTCTCAAACTTTTTTATTTCTTGGACTGTTTATCATTTGACTCAAAAGTGATTACCTACTAGCCTTCTGGTTTCATATTCTGTAGCTCTTCTGCATTATTATTTACATATATGCTCTATAATTTTTCAAAATATACTACTTGATATTTATGTTATTCATCTCCTCTTATATACACTTCGTAATTTTCTAGAATATCCTTAATGTACCATAATTCTTAATTATCTTCAGGACTCTGCCTGAGCTTTGGCAGAACTTCTTGGAGTCTGGATGCTGCTTTGAGAAATACTGACCTCGTGGGATATATTTAAGATTTTTTTTTTTCTTTTATAGACAGTTCAAGAAGAAGAAAGAGAGATTTACAGACAGCTGCTACAGATGGTCACAGGGAAACAGTTTTCAGTAGCCAAACCCACTACACATTTTCCTTTACACCTGTGAGTCACAGAAACTTATTTCAAATGAATTTAATTCTGCATTTTGTTATTTGATATTGAAACTATGTTCTTCTCTCGCTAGGTCTCGATGTCTTAGTTCCAGTAAGAATACTTTGAAAGACTCACTGTTTAAAAATGGAAATTCTTGTGCAGCTCAGATCATTGGCTCAGATACTTCATCATCTGGATCAGCCAGCATTTTAACTACACAGGAACAACTATCCCACAGTGTATATCCCCTATCATCTTATATCCCAGAAGTTGTCCCTTCTGGATCCAAAGATTCAGATTCTCTCCATCAGTCCCACCATCACCACTCTCTTCCATATCAGCCAGATAACTTACCAGCTTCAAATACACAATCTGAAGGTAAAAATGGTATCATAAAAATATATTTTTAATCCTGATAGCCAATTACCTGTTTATTGGATCTGTGTGAATTACAGCCAAAATTGTAGTGCATGTATAACTTAATTAACATATAAGATAAAATAAGATACGTATAATTCAGCTAACCAGGCCACGAATAAACTAAATACATAAATAACTTATTTTTTTTCTTACATGGAGATGCAAATACTTTGACATAACATTTTATTTAAAATATTTACTTCCTGTGCACAGTCTAGAGTCAGAGTTCATTCAGCGTAGTTACTTCAACACTTTCTCTGTTTCTAGTATTTTACAAAGAAAGTTAGGTAGTCTCAGGTTCTAGGAGATTTGAAATAACAAATAAGCATTGAAGTATAAATACTAACTATATAATACTTACTAAACCTGTATTGTAGGTTCATACATTTTAGAATGGTTGTCAGCAAGTTTTGAAAACTTCCCAACTTTCAGCTGATTGTCATTCAGTTTCTCAGAAGCATTCCAGTTACCTAAGGTTTTTCTGTGATAGGTTTTTTTGTGTCCTTAGTTTCCCCTTCTGCAAGTATGTACTATGTGTGTATTTATGGTATGTATTAGGTATGTAACTTAATACAGGTTTTAGATTAACTGGTTAGACTTTAGGAATCTTTTGACAGATGGAGAGCCAGTCTCTGAGGCTCTTTCCCGCTGGTTTGACCGGTTTTTTTTACATTCCATTCCACACTTTCTGAAAACTCTCATTTGGGGTTAAAGTTTTTAGTTATAAATTGTTATAAAGCTATACATATGCATGAAAACTGGTATTAAATTTTGTGAGGTGATTTACTGAGAACTGCCTTTTGAAAAACAAAACAAGCTGAAAAAACCTTTTAACCCCAGAAACATACGTCGTTTGCCAGATGCTTGAGTACAGCCAAACTGTAACAGATATACTAGATAATACTGTTTAATTACTTTCTTGTACCATTTAATAAATAATCTAAATGCGGTTCTAATCATAGCACTTTGAAGGACATCGTTCCTGCTTTTGAGGAATATTCAGTGCAGAAAATAAAGGATAGGATGATCAAAATTGTTCGTTTTAGACTCCACACTGCTTCTCCTATAGTTCTGTTTCTCTTCCTCTCTGTCTTTTTCTCCTCCCTCCCTCTCTCTTTCTAAGACCTTATTCAGTTTCATGGTAGTTCATGAACTAAAGCTTTTTAAGAAATCTTGGCATGATCTTGTTCCCCAGGAACAGAAAGAGGAAACACAGGGAGTGAGCACAGCCCTGGAGTGGATGCTTGTATTTCAGAGTGACTGCCTTAATTGTGAGGCGAGCTCTTCACTAAGACCTATTTCTGGTCTTGGTGAAAGTGGACCTGCGTCTCTTTTTCTTCCATCTTGTCTTTGTCTTAGGCTATGTTATTTTTGTGGAAATAGAATATAACAAGTATAGGAGCTTGAACTATAGACTTCTAAAAAGTATAACTGTGGAATTTTATTAATAATGAAATGCCCTTGTTTCTTTGTTTAGGATCAGACTCTGTCATTTTACTCAAAGTGAAAGATTCCCAGGCTCCAGCTTCCAGGTAAACTTTGGAAAAAGATCATTCTTAACATATCATTTTCTCTCTCTTTAATCACAATTTCTTCACAACCACTAAGAGTTACATAATATAAAAAGTAAAACTGCCTCAATTCAGATATTTATCACACGTTGTCTGAATTATTTTGATTTATTTTGATGACTTTCTAATTGGTCTTCGTTCCTCCAGCCTCCATTTTGTCCTTCATTCCATCTTTCACCATGTTCTCTAATCCATTCTTCTGCCTTGTTCTTTGGTCCATCTCCTATGCTGCAGCCAGAGTGATCTTTCTAAAATGCATATTCATTAAACTCCTTCAAGGACAACTTACCAGACATAGAATCCTTAGTATGATATACAAAACACTTTAACAAGTCACATTTCATATTACGTGTTCTTTCCTTTAACAAATACTTATTGAGAGCCAGCTGTGTGCTGGGTACTAGTAGACACTGAGGATAACAGCAGTGAACAAGATGTAAGCTCTCAAGGAACTTACATCCTAGTTGAGGGAAGGGGTAGGGGACAGTTAACAAACATATATTCCAGGTGGTAAATGTTAATAAGAAAAAGAAAGCAAAAAGACTGGGGTAGAGGGACATCTCTCATAAGATGACATTTGAGCAGAGACACGATGGAGGTGAAGAAGAGAGCCATATGGAAATATGGGACTCTTTTCATGTGTTTTATATGCTGGACTACTTTCAGTTCTGTAAGCATGATATGCACTTTCCTTCCTTCACATTCAGTGTTCATTCTGCCTAGAATGTCCTCTCCACCTTAGCTTGTCCATCTAACAGTAGCCTCCTTATTCTTTAAGTCTCAGTTCAGATGAGATCTTCTAGGTATCAAGTACTTCTTTCCTTGTAATTCAGTAGCTTTATTGCTATGTCTTTGCCATATATGGCCTTAGCAATTCAGTTGTTAGAATGATAATACTAGTTTTCCTTACAGAAGCTTCAGGATAATAAAGTGTTCTTTTTTATCTCAGTTCTCCTACTTCTTTATAGCTTGCGTATATGTTCTAAGCTCTAGATATTTCCTTAAAAATCTCTTATTTGTTGTAGTTCTCAAGGAAACTTTACAGTTTGGGTTCTTTATTCTTTCTGTATTTTTTTTGGAGTCACCTGGGTTCTGGTCTTGGCTTTTCCAGGATTCATATAACTTTGGATAAGCTGCCTTTCTGAACCTCAGTTCTTTATTTATAAAGTGCCAGTATTAATAGTTTACCACTGAATTGTTGTAAAGATTAACTTAGATAAAACACTTATAAAAGTGTTTCACATGTAGTGCACAAAAGTAGGTATGCTTTCTGGGAAGAAGTTCATCTCAGGTAAAGAGTGCTCTCATTTCCTTAATGGTTCTTTTCAAAGTCTTCCTTTCCTCTATGGAGGATTTCTCCTAGTGATGACTGAAAATTGAGATGGAAGGAGAAATGCTCTTTTGGGTATGGCTAACTGAGTAATGCTGTTTGTTGAAGTTGAAGCCTACTCTCCCACGGCTTCGTTGATTGGCTCTCAAGTCTTAAACTCCCACCACTACCTCACAGTTAAGTTCTAGCAAAGAAGGCTTGCCTTTATTTCCCAGAATATGCCATGCTGTTTATGCCTCTGTGCGTTTGTACATTCTGATCCATCTGCCTGGAATTCCCCCTCTCTCCTTGTCCACTTGATAAACCCTTATTTTGCTTTTCACAATCTGATGCAGGTGTTATTTTTTTCCCAGAAACTTTCTGACTTCTCCAGATAACATCAGTCCTTCCACCCAGCAGTATTTCTATCCCTGTACCTTCTTTGTTACTAATACTGTTACACTTACCACCCAATGATGATCATAGTGCCTGACATGTGAGGGGTGCTTAATAAATAAATCTTTGTTAAATGAATGAATTTCCTAGAGAGCCTGAAATGCCGTCTTGAGTAGCCCAGTACTCATCCCTTTTGGTTTAGTGCCTTGGTCTATTGAAAGACACTGTACAGTAAAAAGAGCGTAGTCTTTGGAATTGAACAGACATGGTCCAGTCCTGGCTCTCCCAAAACAAATTATCCTCTGAACCTGAGTTTCCATTTCTGTATAGTATGGGTAATAATTGCTTGTTACATATTATACTGAGGTTTAAGTAATATGGGGATTGTCGAGAAGTGTAACTAATTTGTAAAACAGAGCAGAATTTTACATGGAGAGCACTAAGTAGATGCTCAGTCAGTTGTTTGTAGTTATTCTTACTCTATCCCTTAATTATATGAGAAATAATGCACAATCTCTGGAAAGCAGTTTGCCCCTTCATTTTGCTTTCCTAAGCCAGTGGATAGGTTGATTCATGGGAGAGAAGTGATTGCCCCTGCATTATTCCTTTATTCAACAAGTATTGAATACCTGCTACTTGCCAGGCACTGTTCTAGGTGCAAAGGACATAGCAGTAAACAAAACAAAAAGACAAAAGCCCATGTCCTCATCAAGTTTATATTCTAATAAGGGAAGCAGGCAGATTTGAGTAGCATGCTCTATTACTGTGAAATTCTGGATGATTCTTGTCATATCTTTATATTCTATAATAAGTGTGTTCTTGTGTTCATTCGTTTTTAGTATCATATACTAAATAGTCTTCACCATGCCAAATCTCCGTGGCTTCCTATCTTGGTTGTTACATGAGTTGTCCACTGTGCCAAGGGGTTAGGCCACCTCATGTTTCTTCTCTCATTAACCTCACTGACAGTGGAGAGGCAACAGAACAGCATTTTCATTGCCACACCCAGCCTAAAAATGATTGGGAACACTAATTTTCAAAAGTTAGGCTAAGGAGCAAGGGATGCTCTCTAAACCCTTGTTCCTAACCTCACTAGGACAGATTGTAGAGATTTAAGAGCTAACAGGGACTCTAACCACTATGTTTTACAGATCTAGAAACTAGGACCCGTAGAAGTGAAGTGACTTGTTCAAGGCACACAAAAGTAATCAGGGACAGTTCCAGAAGATCAGGTCTCTTAACTCCTAATTTGATGCTTTGTCGGCTTGTTTTATGTATCTAGAAGTTTTCTTTGGAAAAGTGCTTACTTTTCTTTCTGTTTCTCTGAGAGATCCTTCAGTTAGGGGTTTGCAGGGAGATGAGGAAGTTTGAGAAAAACAGGAGGCCCTAGAACAATCAACGTGCCTGGGACTCTGCTAAGCATTGTTCACTTTGGTTGTCAGCAGAGCCACAATGCATTGGCCTCTCATCAGAGGAATGGAGTTTTGTTACTGATCTTCTGCTTTGATTCACTGACTAATTAACTATTTGATATGGACTATTCTGTGGGTAAGGAGCCTTGGTGGTGCAGTGGTTAAGCACTCGGCTGCTAACTGAAAGGTTGGTGGTTCAAACCCACCAGTTGCTCTGTGGGAGAAAAGACCGAGTGATCTGATTCTGTAAAGATTACAGCCTTGGAATTCCTATGAAGCAGTTCTCCTCTGTCCTATACTGTCCCGTAGGGTCACTATGAGACAGAATCGACTCAACAGCAGCAAGTTTTATTCTGTGGGTAGAGTTTTTCTATATCTACTATGATTTGGATCAATACATTTTGAATCAAGTAGGCTGACAAGTTGTTCAAGAACCCGTAAGATTTTTGATGCTTCCTTAATAAGCTAGAAATAGAAGTACTGTATGATCCAGCAATCCCACTGCTTGGAATATATCCTAGAGAAATAAGAGCTGCCACACGAATAGATATATGCACACCCATGTTCATTGCAGCACTGTTCACGATAGCAAAAAGATGGAAACAACCTAGGTGCCCATCAGCAGACAAATGGGTAAACAAATTATGATATATTCACACAATGGAATATTACCAAACGATAAACAGTGAATCCATGAAGCATCTTGTAACATGGAGGAATTTGGAAGGCATTATGCTGAGTGAATTTAGTCAGTTGCGGAAGGACAAATATTGCATAAGACCACTATTATAAAACTCAAGGTTTAAACACAAAAGAAAATATTCTTTGATGGTTACAAGGGTGGGGAGGGAGGGAGAGGGGTATTCACTAACTAGATAGTAGACAAGAATTATCTTGGGTGAAGGGAAGGACAACACACACTACAGGGGAAGTCAGTACAACTGGACTAAACCAAAAGCTAAGAAGTTCCCTGAATACAGCCAAACACTTCGAGGGACAGAGTAGCAGGGGTGGGGTCTGGGGACCATGGTTTCAGGCAACATCTAGGTCAATTGGCATAATAAAGTTTATTAAGAAAATGTTCTTCATCCTACTGTGGTGAGTGTCGTCTGGGGTCTTAAAAGCTAGTGAGTGGCCATCTAAGATGCATCAATTGGTCCCAACCTACCTGGAGGAAAGGAGAATGAAGAACACCAAAGGCACAAGGAAAATATTAGCCCAAGAGACAAAAGGGCTACATAAACCAGAGACTCCATCAGCCTGAGACCAGAAGAACTAGATGGTGCCCAGCTACCACCAGTGACCACTCTAACAGGGAACACAACAGAGAGTCCCTGCTAGAGCTGGAGAAAAGTGGGGTACAGAACTCAAATTCTAGTAAAAAGATCACGCTTAATGGTTTGACTGAGACTGGAGGGACCCTGGAAGACATTGCCCCCGGCCTCTCTGTTAGCCCAAAACTAAAACCATTCCCGAGGCCAACTCTTCAGACAAAGATTAGACTTGTCTATTAGACATAAATTGATACTCGTGAAGAGTGTGCTTCTTAGCTCAAGTAGATACATGAGACTAAATGGGCAGCTACTGTCTGGAAGTGAGATGAGAAGGCAGAGAGGGTGAGGAGCTGGTTGAATGGACATGGGAAGTCCAGGGTGGAAAGGAGGAGTGTGCTGTCACAGTATAAGGAGAGCAAGTAGGGTCACATAACAATGTATGTATAAATTTTTGTATGAGAAACTAACTTGAATTGTAAACTTTCACTTAAAGCACAATAAAGAAAAAAAAGAACCCATAAGATTTGATTAATTCTTTAGTAAATGTGTCAGTGTGAAGCATTTGAGAAGAGTAATGTTCTAGCTTAATATATTATCTTGATAAGTGATATGCTCTTTCACATAATGTTTGTCACACGCGAGTAGGGAGCTTTGCTAAACTTAATTTCTCTGCTGAACTTCGGGTCTTTTTAACTAGTATGGATGCAGATAACTCCTATTTGTGTTCCTGTAGATCCAGTTACAATTATTTTATGTAATTTAAGAAGCTTTTACTTATTTCATACTTGTGAAGCATTCTTATGAACAATTTAAGTGGTTGGCTTTGTTGGTGAAGGTATTTGTATCTTCCCATAAATCTCCTGCTCATTTGTTACATTTTTCTTTTCACACCCCCAGTCCTACTTTTTTCCAGGCAGAGCTGTGGATCAAAGAATTGTAAGTTATTTATTTTTGGTATCATTTTTCCTTCTCAGTCACTTCATTTTCAGTTAGAAGAAATCAAACAATTAGCCAATCATCCTGCTTATTTTTATTCAGTAAGAATTATCTATGTATACTTTAATAAGTTGTTGGGTTTTGAAATTTCTATTGGTGACATTTATATGCTCAGGTTTATTAAATCTGTAACAACTGTTGAAGCTAAATTGAACTGGAAAAATTAATAAAATTAATTTATTAAATAATTCATATTTTTGGAGTTTACAAAATCACAAAAGCTTTTAGTCTCTTAAGTTTCAAGAACTCACTTTGAGTTATCCAGACTTTCTGTTCTTACTGAATTAAAAAAACAAAAATTTCTATTTCTTCTTTTGGATCATAAATATAATGATGTTTGAATTACAACTGAATATTATTTCTCTTGTATTACTTTTTGTTTTGGGGTTCATTCCCATTTTGGGATTTCCAGAATGAACCTTCACTTTCTCCATAATCTTAGAAGGATGTTCAGAAAAGGACTAAACAATTATAAATATCCACAAAAATCTGTTTACATTTAGTAGCTAAGTGATGTTTTTCATAATTTCAGTAAAAATGGTAGGATAATTTCAGTAACACCATGTAGTTTCACTCTATGTATTAAAATATAAACGTGGGAATAAGTTAGTATAAGGATTTAAACTTTCGCTTTGGAAACCCTGGTGGTGTAGCGGTTTATTAAGAGCTATGGCTGCTAACCAAAAGGTCAGCAGTTCGAGTCCACTAGGTGCTCCTCGGAAACCCTGTGGGACAGTTCTACTCTGTGCTTTAGGGTCACTATGAGTCGGGATCGACTCGACAGCAGCTGGTTTATATGTGGGTTTTGTTTTTAATGTTCACTGTGCATCAGCATTGTTCTTGATACTAAGGGGGTGATCTACATTTGTGTCACTATCCTTTTCATACCCTAGAACTAGTGTTTACGATTCTCGAGCACGGGAGAGATTGCGTCAGATTGAAGAGCAGAAAGCATTGGCATTACAGCTTCAAAATCAGGTAAAAAATTTGGATAGAATTATAAATAGCACATCCAGGTTGGAAACTTTTTTGCAAAGTTGTCTGGATTTGGGATCAAAGCTGTTATAATTGCAAGATTGTATCATAGCATAGCATTGCATGATAAGTGATATATTTTCTTTGTCTGGCCAGCCAGCACTACTCAGTGTGCACTGTCTTTCAGAGATTACAGGAACATTCAGCACATGACTCAGTAGAACTGCATCTTCGAGTACCTCTTGAAAAGGAGATCCCTGTTACGATCGCCCAAGAAACAGAAAAGAAGGGTTATAAATTAACTGATAGTAAAGATGAATTTCCTGAAATTACAGAGGTAATTTACTACTATAAATTCCTACACTATCAAATATTGTGTTTAGAAACAATGCTTTGGACAGATTTTAAACATAATAGCAATAGAACATGTGGTACTTAAATTTTATTACGTACTTCTGCCATCTGTATTCTATACCAATCTTGCCTTGGTTTTTAAAGGATTATTGAGAATTGATAAAAGAACTATAGATGCCTTTTAGCTACTTCAGTGAAACAGTATTTAATAAATTTGTGTTTTATTGCATGACTCTTTTGACTTAATGCACATGTATAATACTTTGACACCAAATGGTTAAGTTCAGGCTTACTATTAATAAATTAGTTTTTAATTTTGAGGTAGTGAAAGCCAGTTATAGAAAATTGAGAAAATGCATAAAACTGTGTACATTTTAAAACAACCTCTTCCTTAATCTGTATGTCTCTTTGAAAAAGTCATATAACCAGTGAGCATAGCATATATATTATAGTTGTGCTGGATTGCATATTTCACATTTAAAAAAAAAAAAAAAATGTTTAGGAAAATAGTGTCTAAAAGACACCGCCTTTACTCCTTTAACTAGCTTTTGAGAGATAAAGTATTCTGTTCCTCAGGAAGTCATTTGGACCAGAGATATAAAATATAATCAACTTATCTCATGGGCTTAGAAAATTTGATAGCAGCAGATTAGTTCAGACTTTAGAAATGGTAGGAAATGAGGGTCCAAATGTGCTGAAAAAGAAAAGGGAGGACAAGATAGAATGGAAGATAATAATCAGGGAGATTACCAAGAAGGAATAGAAACCAAAATGTTAGAAGCGAAGTAAACAGTTGGTTAGTGGTAAATATAGTCTAGGGATGGTATAGGGCTTGGTGAGAAATCCAGTTTGCCCGAAGCCGTGTCTTTTTTATTTCTTGACACTTTTTGGTTTCCTAGGAAATGGAGAAAGAAATAAAGAATGTATTTCGTAATGGGAATCAGGATGAAGTTCTCAGTGAAGCATTCCGCTTAACCATTACACGAAAAGATATTCAAACTCTAAACCATCTAAACTGGCTCAATGATGAGGTAATCTTGTACCCTTTTTTGTATGCAAATAGTAAGTGAATGTTAAATGGAAATTAAATGAGGGCACTAACTTGCTGTTTTTTTTCAAAGTGGTCCTCAAATGATCTGTATCAGAATCACCTCTCACAGACTTCTCCATTCTCTTGAATAAGTATAAAAGGGAGTATGGTGGAGAGATGCATTTTTAACAAATATCTCTGATGATTTTTAGTACTTTAAAGAACCACTAAATTTACCTTTTCTTGCGTTAAAGATTCGGACACTAAAGGAGAGGACGTTCACTCTCTGGTATTCTCACTCTTTAAGGCACTTGCCCTGCAGTTCAGCTGATCATGTTGCAGCATGAAAAATTACTTTGGGATTTCTATATAGGAATCCATTTCTACTTCCCTTTCTATCTCTGCTTGTTCTAGGACACTTAAGTTATGGGAGGGAAGTTTTCTAAAATAGTCTCCATTAATACCTAATTTTTTTTAAACTGACATTGAAAGAGTTGTATTATTATTACCAGATATTTGATGTAGTACAGAAAAAAAGTTATGGCCCTCAACTCTGAATTCCACTTATTTTCTTAAATATGTTAATTACACTACAATCTTTGAACTGATCTGTCGTATTCCTAAACTGGTAGGAACTGTTTTATTTCAAAAGAATATTTTCATGGCAAAAGAAGAAAACTGGTTTGGGTATCTTTTCCTAAGTACGTCGTTTCTTAGACTCACTAGAAGCATCCCTGCCTGATCTGGGTGTACTCAAGCTTCACAGCTGAGGAGGAGTTTTAGATACTCAGTATAGTAAGCACTGGGTATTATAGATACCCATATTCTATTCAGAGCACTGATGGCTCAGTGGTTGTTAAGAGCTCGGCTGCTAACCAAAAGGTTGGCGGTTCAAATCTACCAGGCACTTCTTGGAAACCCTATGAGTAGTTCTGCTCTGTCCTATAGGGTTGCTATGAGTCAGAGTCGACTCAACGACAACAGCTTTTTTTTGGTTGTTGTTGTTATATCCTATTCTTGTACACTTCCCAGATAATAATATTCGCTAACATCTGTTGAATATTTATCTCATGTTAGACGTGATAAGCTACAGTTTTATCATCTACATTTTATAGATGAGGAAACCTGGCATAGAAGGGTTAAGAAACTTGGCAAGGTCACACAGCTAGTAAGAAACAGAGCCAGTATTCAGACCCAAGCACTGGATTTTATCTGTTATACCATGCTGTCTCAGAATCTTATATTGGATTCTGCCATAGGATCAGTTATATAGAATTTTGGAGCCGTATGTCATGCCTAGTAAGTTGATTTTCTCCAGCGCCAGAGGGACTAGCTCTATTCTCTTTGTCATTGGTCTGCTTATAAAAGTTTCAGAAGCTCATCACTCCCTGAATAATGTCTGTGACCAAGAACGATAGGGAAGGCGTAGTTTGGTAGTCTTGCTTTAGAGGAAACCACCCTTGTTTCTTTGGGCTCAGAAATGTGACATTAGAACATAATAGGAGAAAAAAAAAAGAGCTTACCAAATCAAAGGGCAAAATGAAAATGAAGGACAGACAAAAGTATACATTTATCAGGTTTTTTTTTATTTGGGACATTCATCTATGGTTTCTTGCCATTTTTCTGCCTATCACTGCTGCGGGGGAAGGTTCAGTTACTCCAACGAGATGGCAGCCTTTGTTGTAAATTATGTGAAACGTGCTAGGGGGCAGCAATGAGTAGGATACGAGCTGAGTTCTTGCTATTTGGTGTGGCACTTACCTCAGTGAGATCCCTTACAGAGGCAGCATTCATCAGGACATATTTTCCATTCCCTGGATCCATCAGAGGCTGGATTTTCAGCAAGCGAAGTTAATGGAAATTACATTATTTAGAGGGGAGGGAAAGATTCCTTGTCCACTTTATCCTTGCCACACCTACCCGTAACTTTTGTAGGGAGTGCTTGTCTTCTGAGTTCAGAATAATGTTAACCTTGAAAGCAGGTGCCAATTCACATGTTCATGATGATGATGAGAACTCTTTCTAAAAGCACCATTTTTAAAGTGCCACACTTCTCAAGCTTTCACAGTTAATGCCCTTGAGAAGCTAACATTCGGATGGGGTGTTAGTATGTATCCTTAAGTATTGATGCCCATTTAAAAATACTTCATTCTGTTTCTCAGTTGTGGGCTCTCCATCTTCTTTTGCAAGTAATTTCTCATCTTTTAAATTCTGTTTCCTTCCCTCAAATAGAAATTCTCATTAATAACCAATTCTCTTCTTTTTAAATCTCCTGTCAGTGTTACAGGATTTTTAAGAAAGCTTTATCCAAGGTAGGTGACTGACACATTATTCTTACCATTTTGCAGACAATGAATAAGATTTAGGAAGTAAAAGGGATAAGATTTAGTTTACAAGAAAAAAAAAATCTGGAAGTTGTCCTGTAGTTGTCTGTACAGACTACCCTTCCTCTGGTCTCTTTCCTAAAAGAAGAGTAGGTCACAGTGTGTTTTCATACAGTAGCCTTTCAAAAAAATTTTTTTATGAATGTGTTTATATATGAGTGAATAGTTAAATTCTGTATAGCTTCAAAGGACTAATGAGTGACAGGATTGGCATTTTACCCCAACATAAGAAAATGGAACCTCTCAAAAATGGAATGGGGGAACAGGCTGCCTTGTGAAGAATACAAAAGGAGGCTGAGAGATTGGTAACATCAGGGATATTGTAGATTGGGCTTTCTATACTGAGCCAGGAGATTAGTTATTAATAGACATATCTAGTTAAGGGAAGGAAGATAGGGTTAAGAGAGGGAACAGTTAATTGCAAAAGTAGATTGAAAGTCAGTCAAGAAACAAAATGAAATATTTTAAAATGAGTGTTAGTACAAGAAATCATTTATTAGTTTTCTAGAGATTGGAATAGATGGTTTCTGAAATCCCTTCTAATTTTAAGATGAGTTAATGATCCTGAGGGGAAGACTACTTTGGGCTTTGTATGTCTCTTTATGGCCAGATAGATGGTGCAAGGCATCAGATGCATTTAGAAGTACATGGAAATAATTTAGGCATATAAGTAAATGGATTTGACTTCTGCTTCTGGTCATGAATGAAGTAAAAGGAACCAGATAAACCCTTTCAACTTAAACAACTAGAAAACTAGACAAAATATATGAAACAGCAGTTTTCGGACATTGGATAACAAGCAGTGCAGGACAGTGATCCCTGAGAGAAGAGAAATAAAACATGAGCCCAATTATCTCCCCAGCTTACTGGGGTGATGTGTATATTGGGGGTGGGGGAGATAGGGGGACTGGCAGTGCCTGGCAGTTGTGCTGAGTTGAGGAGACGAGAGTTCAGAGTGAATTCAGGGAGACAAAAGCAACTAAGGTTTGTGAGGCAGAATACTGGAGGGGAGACTGCTGCACAAAGAGAAAGCTCCAGAGATCTACAGAGGGATCCCCTCATGTCTTTGGATGAGTACTGATCTGTGGATGCATGGGAAGAAACTACCAGAGACTGGGGAAAGAACCACTAGAAAGAAGGAATCAACAATCCTCAGAGATAACACAGGGCTGAGAATAGTTTATGTTCCAGCCAGCCAGAGTGGAAAGACGTTCAGTCACAGGGCATTGAACAGATCCCTCGGAAGGGTGTTGCCTCACGAGTTAGGGCCAAATTGGCCCTGTAATAAAGGCTTCTCTGAACCCATTGTAACAAAACTTAAAAACAGGACTAGAAAGCTTGAAACTGAATTCAGGTAACTTAACTGTATCACAGAACAAAGCTCAACAATATTTAAAGGAATATGACAAATTCCAGCACCCAACAGTGTAAAATTCACAATGCCCAGCATCCAGTCAAAAATGACCAGGCATGCAAACAGGGAGGAAAATACAACTCATAACAAAGGGAAAAAAATAAGTTGATAGAAACAGACCCAGAAATGACAAAAATGATAGAATTAGCGGACAAGGATGTTAAAACAGCTGTTATAAATATACTTTATGTATTCAAGATGGCAAAGGAAAAATGGAGATTATTAAGAGAGAAATGGGAGTTTTTTTAAAAAAAGATCCAACTTAAACTTCTAGAGATGAAAAATGTAGTGTCTGAAATGAAAAATACATGAGATGAGATTAACAGTGTATTAGACACTGCAAAAGAAAAAATTAGTGAACTTGAAGATATAGCAATAGAAACCATCCAAAATGAAACACAGATAAAAGGCTAAAGAAGGATGATTAGAGCACCAGTGAGTGAGGGACATTATCAAGCAGTCTAGCATATAATTGGAGTTGCAGAAGGAGAGGTGGCGGGGAGGGAGTGTCATAAGAACTGTTTGAAGAAATAGTGATGGAAGACTTTGCAAATTTGAAAACTGTAAACTGACAGATACAAGAAATTCAGCATACGTCAGGTAGAAGAAGCACCACACTAAGACTTAATAGCTGAAAGCTAGTGATAAAGAGAAAAATATTGAAAGCAACCAGAGGAAAAAAGACACGTTCCATACAGAGAAACAAAGATAAGAATGACTATTATGGTCAGAAATCTCCATGTAGGCCAAAAGACAGTGCATGAAGTACTGAGAAAAAAAGACCTTGTCAACCTAGTTTCTGTATCCAGCAAAAATATCTTTAAAACAGTAAGGCAAAGTAAAAACTTTTTCTCAGCCAACAAAAGCTGAGAGAATGCATCCCCAGCAAACCTGCACTATAAGAAATACTAAAGGACATTCTTCAGACAGAAGAAAAATATCACATGTAAATTTGATTTACACAAAGGATTGAAGAGTAATGGAAATGGAAGACAGTTGACTTGAAGCACAAATAAAACACTATTGTGGGATTTATAACATGTAGAATTAAAATATATGACAATCATAGCACAAAGGGGTGGGGAAATGGAAGTGTACACTAATTTAAGGTTCTTAAACTATACATGAAGTGGTATAATGTTATGTGAAGATAGACTGATAAGTGAAAGAGGTATATTGTAAACCCTAGAGCAACCACTGAAA